TAAAAATGAACTGTAAAAAATGATAGCTGCTCTCTGGAGGATGAGACACTGTCTGATTCCTAAACTCAGATTTCGACTGTAAAGAGCGACCTCTCCTTCCAAGTAGAGAGATCTGCTACTTAATATCCTCTTTGTGTAAGGCTCCCATCCCTCGATTCCAAGCCCATCTCTGGAAAAAAAAAATCTGCTATCTTTTCCTCCTTGATTTATTGGCAGGTATCCTCTTTAAAGTGCTATCAAGATCAAACAAGGATGTCATTCATTTTCTCATCTCAAAATGTAGGTCCTTTTAAAACAAGTGCTCCTTATCAGTATTAAACCCCAAATTTTCAGAGTTTGGTTTAAGAACCTTTTAACTCCTTTTTTAGAGTAGAACACATGGTGATTTTTATTTTTATGAGTTTAAGCAAATTTTGTACAACCTCATGATAAAAATAGGAAGTGATCTATTCAATTGTGCTTAACTAATATAAAAGAAGTAACAACAAATCAAGAGCCTTGCTGAATCTGCCTCTATCACTACTTCAACTCCTGCATGAAGTGGGCAGAGTAGCCAGATTGTCACCGCAGTTTGCAATCAGCCCTGGAGTCTGCTGAGTTGCACACAAACCTCAAAGGGTGGAAGAGCACATTCTGAAAAACAAAACCAACAATCCAGATCAGTGATTAAGAGAAACTGCAAACATGAAAACAAGACCATGGGCTGAGCCTCAACCTAAGACAACCCTGTGGATGATTCACAGGCTATGCCCCAGGGAGGGAGGAGTCCCAGAGCAGTGGTCAGTGTCCTAACTGGATCGTGGAAAGCACCAGGCTGGTCAGGAGAGAAGGTAGCCACACAGAAGAAGAGATGCACAGGAAGCCGGAAGAGCCAGACCAAGCACCTGTGAATGAGCAGGACAATTGAAGAAGCCACCGGGAAGACACACGTGGCACATACAACAGGTAGCCAGGCACACCGTGGCACCATCACATATGCTTTCTTCCCATGAATATAACTTGATGTATTTACCCACTTCAGTAGTAAGGGACACCTAGATTACTTTCAATTTTTTGTTTTGCCTTGTTTTGTTTGCTTTACAATTGCAAACAATCCTTTAATAACATCCCATATTCCAGACATGCTGGCATTTTACTGAGAGTATATCCACAGAATGAATTCTTGTAGTGACATTTCTCAATCAAAGGACCATCAGACTTTCTGTGTACTTACAAAAGCCAAAGGAAAGTATGGATCAAGTGGAAATAGAGTGGGCCATGTGTCTCTGGCTTGGCATTTATTACCTATCTCTGTAAAGGAGATGGGAGGAAGAAATTTTAAGACTGGGGGGAAGGATGTAAAAGGAAGAACAACCCCACCCCAGGTGGATAGAATATTTAAACATTTCTTGTATTCTTCAAATGCCCTGAGAAGGAGCAGTACTATTAGAACTGTGTCCCAACATAGAGACAGGTGAGTGTCAGAAATCAGCAGTGTCCAAAACACTCACTGCAGAGGCTGTGGATATAGCTCAGTGGCATAAGCACCTACCTGACAAGTGCAAGGTCCAGAATTTGATCCCCAGTACTGCAAAGAGAAAAATAAAAAATAAAAAGAAACACTCACTGCTAAGCCTCGCCACAGGGCTTCCAGTTGAGCAGGTCTCAATGGAAGCTGAGAACGTACCTTTCATCAAGTTCCTAGGTGAGACCTTGCAGTTGGTTGAAACATCCTATTTGGGGACCACTGAGCAGACTGCTGCTCCAAGCAGCAAGAGGAAGTCCAGGATGGGCCAGCTGGTCAGCGTCTTGATTTGTATTTGACCTTAACTTTTTGACTCCAAAATCATGTTAACTGGGCCAGAGAGACAGCTCATTGGCATAAACACCTGCCTGGCAAGCACAAGGCCCCAAGTTTGACCCCCCCAGCACCCCAAAATCATGTTAACTACTATATTGTAGAAGTTCTCAGCCCTGACTTATCTTCGAACCATGTGGGGAGCATTGAAAATGTTGATGGCCAGGCTGACCACAAGCAACTATGTTAGAGTGTTTATGGCAACAGGAGGAGCTCAGGTTTCCAGAGGGTCTTGTGTGAAGGACTAGCTGAACAGCATGGTTCTATTTGGTACCTGAGTACCACCTCTGTAGACTGAACACAGCGTCCTCACCATTGTTCCTGCCACACATGGTGGACTTCACGGACATCAGGCAGCACATAAGTGATGTTTTCACTTAATCGTGGCTGTTCGTTCAGATAATGGGCAGATTTGCCCACAGAAAAGTTCCAGGAAGTGCATATTGATGAGGGTACCTGAAGACTTTATTGCATATTTCACTATAATTTTAAAGAATTATATCTTTTCTAGGGGCTACATCAAGATGGTCAAAACAATAGGCAGGAAGATTAACTGTTCAAAATATGCAATGACAATTGCTGTTCTCTGTTTTATCTCAGAGGTGCACAGCTATGGTGACAGTCTCACATGGAGTCTGTCCTACCAGGGATCTGGTAATTGTCCCCATTGTAACTTAGAGGCCCTGGTTTGAACTCAGTGAAGAGATTGCATCCATTGGCTGCAGAAATGCTATCTTTTCCCAGATCCATCCCCCTCTTATTCATGGTATTTCAATAATTGACAAACAGACAAAAATATATTTATTTAGGGATTGTCTATATTGAAAACTAGACACGAGATTTTTTTTCTCTGTCAACCCTGCAGTAATATCAGCTATTTGAACAAAAGGAGAGATATTTTTTCATTCAATACTGAATGCTGAAACTTCTACAGTTTGTATTCTGAAAGACATTTGGTTTTATTGATCATGATAGCTGAATAAATTTAAACTCCCATAGCCAGATGAGGAGAAAGTTGATGTTCCATTTATTGTAAAGGTTATTAGGAGGAGAACCGTATACAGAAGTTACTTGTCTTTAGACAATCCTTGACCATTAGAATCATTCAAGTATGTTCCAGAAGTCTTGTTCAAAGCCAATACTTTGATGGTCTTGAAAACTATGTTTCTTCTGAAAGTACTCATTTTATTTTTTAAGACTTTGCTTGTTTTAAGAAAACACTTTGCTATAGATGGAGAAGTGTACATTTCCCTGCTTTTAATTGGTAAAAATTCTTATATTTCATCAAAAGTAAGGAAATTAATAGGCCCCAGTTAAATTGTCACTGATCCAATATCTTTTGCCATAAACAACCTTTCCTTGGAATATTCTCCCACTAGCTTCAAATCCAAAACTGTGAGGTGTCAAATCCAAGACAACAGTTTTGTGAAACTTTTCCTCAGTTTTAGGTCTGTCTTTTGGTCTCAGATTTAAGGGACTAAGCCATATCTCACAGACACAACTGACAACAGGCAGTGTTGTTCCTTCAGTGAAAAGCTTAGATAGCACAAATCTCCTCTCTTGGGTTTTGAAGACATCGGGTAACTCACCAGTGAAAAGCAAGGAAAAGTAGAAAAGTCACAGTTGATGCATCAGATTGCAGGGGTGAAAACACAGGTCAAGGCAGAAATGCTATTGCCAAATAGAGAGGTCCCTGAATATCAGTAATACGTACTTGTGGTTTTTCCAGAAATGTCCTTTCCCTTGAAACCTTTTGATATTTGCCCTTCGATAAGACTATATTTGCCCAAGGACAGCCCTCTCCTGGCTTCCTGAGAGAAATGAAGTGACTCAGAGAAATGACCACAATACTTTTTTTAAAATGAAGTTATGCAAATCTGATAGGCTAAAGTAAATGTTTCATAAAACCAATGACTGTTTAAATTGTAGGACTAAACTGTTTGTATATAAATATTACCTTTTATATTCCATTTGAGTTTTATGTAGATGAACACATTACTTTAATGACCTGCGTTTACAGAGGGAGAGTGGGAGACTCGCTCCCTGAAATTCTCACCAGCCAGATGGCTGCCTTTTCTTGCATGAGATTAAAAGATGTTTCTCATTCACTGCGATGCTTCAGAGGCAAATTAATATTGCCAGCTAAATTGCTTGTGTTTTTGGAATAAAATTTAAAGAGAACTTTTTAAAGCAATTGGTGTCACAGGTTCTCAGAGCAGATTGCTCTCCAGGTAGAGAGACATTCAGTAATTAATGGAAAGAATTCTGTGTTAATTGACTGCTTCAGGAAGGGAAATATAATGACTCCTTATTAATCATGAAAAGAGATGTACAGCATAGAGGCCCCACAATAATTGCTCCAACAGTGGAGAAATGTTAATTAATGAAAAGAACAATGATGTAAGAAATTAGCTACATAATGATTGCCACCAATGGAGATTGGGTTTTAAACATGTTATTTAGAGTGGAAACCACAAAATGTTGCCTTGAATAACCAATACATGAAAACCCATGCCACCGAAATTTAGGAGGAAAAGTCTTTCAGTGTTCCACACATCTTTGCTTGAGGAAGCAAAAACATTCAGCCAGAGCTATATTTATTTCAGAGAACATGGCCTTGTCCTTGATCTATGATCTGGGCTTCAAAAATCAACATCAGCCCCAGACCAAAGCAAGATTATTTATTATGATCATTTTATTTCAGCACAGTAGGTCATCTGACCACTAAGCACAAAAAAAGTGAAAGATGGTATTTTTTCCTAAACGGAAATAAACAAATTCAATTTCTGATGTTTCCCAGTTAATACGAAGAAAAGTTCAGATTCACTTTGGGGACAGAGGAGTGCCTTTCTTATAGAATCCAATTTTAAGTTCCTGAGAGTACATGTAGCTTCTTCACTAAAAACTTATTTTCTAGGAAAGGGACTGGTTTTATTAACATGCAGAAGAGCTGCAGTGTTAATCATTAGTAGCCCCAGGCCAAAGCCACTCTGAGGACTCTGCTGTGTCTGGGGAGGGCTCCAGGCTCACACCATGGACCAAACGGGGGCCTAAAGGGCAGGACGCCACCAGTACTGTGCACCATTGGTCCATTTCCCTGGTGGGCCGAGGCGCCCTCCAGCAAGGAGGGCCTCCACTGACTCTGCCCCCACTTTCATTCCAGGTGGAATGTCTTGGGACTACAGGGTGCCCTCCTCTGTCACTTCATCGAGCCTGTGTACCTCCACAGCATCATCGTGGGAAGTCTACACCACACAGGCCACCTCTCCCGGGTCATGAGCCACAGGATGGAGGACATCGGCCAGCTCCCAACTTCATACCAGCACAACCGGCCTCTCCTCAGTGGTAAGAAATCACTGCCCCAAGGGAACCACAACCTTGTCAGCAGGGCTGCACACAGGTCCTGGCTGTGCCAGCTCAAGGCCAACTGCACTCATTTGGGCAAATGACTATTTAAGATTTAATGAGGAAAACTGCAATAGTCCAGACTTCTAAGAGACCAAAAATACACAAATAGATTATAATATATGTCTGAATATAGGGATAGGCAACATTGTAGCATGAATGCATAATGGAACCAAGCATGTCACACATTTTGTGTCATTGTCTAAAAATAGCCAGTGATGGCTGCACAAAAGCCCCTAGTGATGCTGCAAATGTCTGAGAAGCCCAGAACCCCTTCTGGTGCTGGTCTATAGGAACCACTGTACAGCGACATGCCAGTGGGTGAGCAGATGCAGAAAAAAGGCAAGTAGCAGCCAGACCCCAGTCCCAAAGCTGGAGGATTAGGTCTGTAGGGCCCAGAGGCCCTGTGCTCCCAGTGGAAGGGACAAGCAGAAGCTCATCTTAGAGGCCGCGAGGTGGCCTGGCAAACACCAAACCCAGCCACGTCTCTTACCTGTCGCAGAGACTCTGAGATCCTTCACTTCAGCCCACCAGGTACATAGTTGGTTGCCATGAAAACACACTGCAACAAAGGCGTGCAGTTTTGTGTGTACCTCTTAGAAAAGAGCAAGCATGATGTCTCAAAATAACATTCATTCACTGTGATCACTGACCTTCCACATTAGGGCAACTTCCAGATTAGTGGGAACTGAAAAGAAGCATGTGGATTTTAATGATGTCTTGTAAGCCCAACATGAAGGCATAGAAGAAACCACTAGATTTTGTTTCTTTGGTGTACTGGGGATTGACCTAGAGCCTTCACATTGAGCTACATCCCCAGCTCTTTTTTAATTTTCTTTAATGTTAGGACAAAGTCTTGCTAAGTAACGGAGTTGTCTAGGAATCTTGAACTTGTGATTCTCCTTCCTGCCTTAGCAGGCTTCCAGGGTGCTGAGATTATAAGCATGCACCACCACTCCCAGCTAACACTTGATCTTGGAGGTTTTTTCCCTGACTGGAAGAGGAGAGCATGCTCAAAGGATTGCTTGCAAATAAATAAATAAATAAATAAATAAATAAATAAATAAATAACAGCCTGGTACACTGATAAAACATAGCACCCCATGGGGAGTGGGCACAGTCTCTTCTCCAAAAGCAAGTAGACCAATACTCCTGGGCTTTGCTGATTTAGTCCTAGATCAAACCATCTGAAATAGAAGACAAGAAGATAAAGGAGCCACTTTTATTATTTCATGTGGGAGTAGTTAGACCTAAGATTTAGTCCCAGAATTGTAAAATTGTTCTAAATTGTGAGATTCAGGGCCTCACAGAGCCAGCAGTAGAAACTGAACAAAATATTTCATGAAAAACACAGAACTATGCTAAACAAGTATTTGAGAAAAGATGCTTCCTATCACAAAAGTGATTCCATTTTTTCTACAGTACTATTTAGAGATTTAACACCTCTATGTATTGTTGCAAAAAATAAGATTACAGACCTAAAGGTTAAACTAGAAAAGGCAAACAAAGAATCACCCGCCTCCACCTGCATGATCATTGCAAACCAATTCCTTCACCTATTGACATTCTATACTTTCTAAATATATAAGGCCCAATTCATAAGATTCTGTAATTCCTTTGGTTAGCTGTGGGAGATTTTTGTGGCATTTGGGCAGCAGATTCGAGATCAGCTCAGGCTGAAAGTGGCTTTCCCTGTACTCAAATCCAAAGATGTTTGTAGACTACAGGGGTTTGCAAATGTAGAATGAAAGAAAACCTGAAGTCCAAAGTTAGCAGACTTCAGTGAGACTACTTGAAAGAGGGTAGTATTTTACATTAAGACTTCACCTTGCTGAGCCGTTGGAGGAAAATTAATTTCTTCACCACTTGGACTGAGTTAATAAGGCAGGAAGATACCCACACCATTAGTGATCTTACCTTCAGAGTGCTTGCACCTCTTCTTTTTACTGTTTCATCATATTTGTACCCTACTCCCATCGCCAGCTGACTGGCTGACTCCAAACCCATCATATGGTGCAAGGTCTTAGACAGTACCTGGACCACAATACACATAGTAAGCTGAGTTTTAGTTGACCTGTTGGATCCACACTGGAAAAGGCTACCTTGGGGCCAGAGCCATAGCTGTGTCTAGGACTGTAGAGTCCCATGACCCAAATCACAACAGCTTCTATGACAATAAACAGTCTACAGATGAATTGGTGGTACACAATTTAGAAGTCTGAACTTCATGGAGCAATTATGATAAACTTCAGAAAACACCTTCTGAAAATGGCTGTATGTATCATTTAGGGAGGAAAAATACAACTTCTTGAATTCCCACTTGGTGGGAATTTGTGACAATTCTCATTCAATCATCATATCAGTCAACGACTAGTGATGTTATCTCTAGTTTTTAAATGCCAAAAGAGGTGCACATAGATTCAATTACTTGCTGAAAATTCTCAGCTTATCAATAGAGTATTTGAATTCAGATCTGATTGATTGCAAACCCTACATTCTCCCATACCACTCCTATAGCAGTGTAGTGCAATTTCTTAGATGCCTATTTTTTTTAATCACATAAAAATTAATAATGCAAAACAAGAGTAGCTGAAGAGGTGGCAACATCTAATTCATGGTGAATGGGTGTGGGAGAGACAAACCAGTCCGCTGAAGCTTGTCTAACTCCCAGCTTCCCGCTGTCCTCACACAGCTGCTGCTATCAACAAAGGCCTCATCTGCTGCTCCCCACTAAACTAAAAGATCTGCCTCAAATTCATTCTCTTCCCTTTCTAAGTGGTCAGTAATTTCCACAGTTCTGATAAAGCACTGCAGGTCCAGTTTTGCTTTCTTTCTCCTGCCTTTCTTAAAAATAATCACTAATTAAGACTAAAATGACTAATTTCAAACAAGACAAAACTGTTCCCATATCAGGTACTCCCAAAATTCACTGTGTTTCTTAGATTTATTTCCAAGCTGAATTTAAGAGACTTTTCATCTGTCTTGGTGAGGGTCGTGTTCTCTTTTTTTCACCACTCTGCCTCCTTGATTGGTCTCACTCATCTACTAGTGAGAGAGTGCCCCCTAGCCTGAGTGACACCTGCCCACACTACAAGCGCAGTCTGACTAAACATTTCAGCTTAGATGCTTATTTATTATATGGTTTATATTATTATAAAGATATAAATGAGCCTAAACCTTGGTATTTCACTAAAAACAAGCCCTAAAGCTTAGCTTCACTGATCCTGATGAACATTTAAAAACCAATCATGGGGCTGGGGAGATAGCTCAGTAGAATAAGGACTTGCCTGGCAAGCGCAAAGTCCTGAGTTCAATCCCCAGTACTGCAAATAAATAAATAAATAAATAAATATATATAAAAATAAAAAATAACCAATTATGGAAACAAACCAATCATGCAAATTCTGAAAAGAAGTCATTAGAATTTATTGCCAAAGAAAAGGAGCAATATCCTGCATAAAGATGATGATGATGATAATAATAGGGGCTGGGGAGATGGCTCAGTGGAATAAGCACTTCCCTGGCAAGCGCAAGGGCCTGAGTTCAATCCCCAGTTCCACCACAAAAAAAAATAATAATAATAATACTCATAATAATCATAATAATTGGTCAGGGAGATGGCTAAGTAGAATAAGCGCTTCCTTGGCAAGCTCAAGGGCCTGAGTTCAATCCCAGGTTCCACCAAAAAAAAATGAATAATAGCAATAATAATAAGCCTCACTCAAGCAAGTGAAATTTGCTTGAAGCTTCTCTCAAGATCAGTTTGCAGAAATGCTATAGAAGATGGAACTCATGCATTAGCAGCATGAAGCCCTGCAATTTAGATATGGCTAAATCAGTTCTGGATCTAAAAAGAAGCAGCCAAGCTGAAAAAGATACTCATATTGACACAGCCATAGCATACATATTAATGTTCTCAAAAGATATACTTGAAGAATTCTGCCCAGACCAGGCTAACCTATGGCAAGCTTCAGTACGGAAAGCCCAAAAGAAGATTGTCAAGAGCCCTGATTCCTTCAGCAAAGTTCTATCATTGCCTGACAATAGCTACCCTAAAGGAGTTCATCCTTGCTATTTCTTGGTAAATACCACAGGTGGAAAAATGGTGAGAATAATGATTAGTAAAAATCTATACTTTAAATACTGATTGTCTCAGTTACTCTTCTGTTGTTGCTGGGACAAATACCCGACATCCAAAATGAAGGAAGGAAAGGTTTATTTAGCTCACAGTTAGTTTCAGTCCATACTCGGTTGGCTCCAAGGACAGACTGACACATGGCAGAGGGCAGCAGTTCACGGTGGCAGCCAAAAGCAAGAGGAGACAAGGGAGAGCAGCAGCAACAATGGCAACAGAGAGAGAGAGAGTCTCTCTGTCTCCCTTATGTTACATTCAGGCTATCCTAAAACCCATAATCCCAGTGGATCTTGAGTTAATCTCAAACTCTAGAAGTCCCCACCCCATGACTGCCTGAGGTTTTTGGGAGACAACTAGACACAAAACATAACACAGATCTTTTGAACAAAATGTAATATGAAATAGCCACTTGTTCTACCAAGCTGAAGAGATATGCTTCTGTAGGCCTGGGGAGATGGTTCAGTAAAATAAGTGCTTGCCTGGTAAACCCAAGGGCCTGAGTTTAATCCCTGGCTCCACCAAAAAAAAAAGGCTGAGTCTTAGTTTATTCATAAAAGAAAGAAAGAAAGAAAGAAAGAAAGAAAGAAAGAAAGAAAGAAAGAAAGAAAGAAAGAAAATATCTAGATAGTATCAATTGTTTTCAGGTTAATGACATGATTAATAGAATTTAATCTTGACCTTTGCTAATCCACACTACAGATAAAATTATGATTATTTTTACAACAAATGAAAAGGTCTTGACAGCAAACATTAAATTTGAGAGACAAACATAGAGAATTGGTTATAGAACCATGAGTTCTTTAAG